GGTGCTTCCTTCTCTGATTTCGCAGGAAGTCCAAATCCCTCTCAGCAGGGTAGAGACCACTGTAGACAGGCCTCAGTGGTAAGTAAGGCTGCCTGACCTCAATGCCCCTCAACTCAGGCAATTATTCTTTCTCCAAAGGTTCCTTGGCACCCAGTAGCCTTCAGTAAAGGCTGACCAACTGAACGAATGAATGAACAAGCGAAGGCACTATATTCCAGGCACTAGGCCGTTAATCAGTTGCCTCTTGTGCTTTCTTTGAGGGAAAACACTTTGAAAGACAGTTGTTACCAACGTTCTTCCCAGAGCTTCCTGGCACACCCTGGCTCTTCTCCATTCCCTCATCTAAAGCATTCCATGCTTAGGGCCATGGCGAAGGGAGGCACAGAGGAACTCCAGTCTCCAAAGCTGAGGCCCAGAGGAATCTCAGGGCTGGAAGGACATTATGGCAACTGCCATAATGGAGGAACTGGGCCAGTTCCTCCCCTCTCCACCCTGCCTCCAGCCCCTAAACTGACTGCATGGGAAAGAAGATCTGACTGGAAAGGGAAGCCAGAGATGTGGCGGCCCGGAGGAAAGACCTGCACCAGGACGTCCTCGTAGGTGTCAGCCTTCCCTGCTCCTATCCTGGGACACTGGAACTTGGCTTCCGCTAGCCCTGTTACTGCTGCCAAAGGCTGCAGACAGTCGGCGCAGCCCGAGGCTCCCTGCTGGCTTGTCAATAAGGCCCAGGGGGCTGCTGACTGACTCTAGGGCCACCTTGGGCTGGAATGAGGATGCCGTGCATGGCACTGACGTGTAGCTGAGTCTGCACACAGTTTTTCCAAGACTGATATACTGTGCATCACTCACCAATCTAAGGTGCTGCCAACCCTCTATCACAGGCCCCAGATTCATTTCATTTCCTGGCCTGGACTCCTTGTAGATTCCATGTCACCTGCAAGGACCTTGGGTTTCAAACCACTGTGGAACGTTTCCTCTTTTTTGCTAAAAGTTAAACAAGCTGGACCTGATGTAATCACAACTACCCAGAACATCTGCAGCTCTGCTGAGAGTTTGTAAAATCTGAAGATTCGATAAAATCCTCACAGCTAGATACTGTCACTGTCACCTCTGTTTTAATTCTGAGGATACGAAGGTTTCTGAGTGGTCAACCTAGAGGTCAACCACATGGTTTAGAAGCTGAGAGGGACTCTGGAGGAACTAGGATTTGAACCCAGATCTTCATGACTTCAGAGACGTTGAAAAACAAATATCTAAATGAATGAGCTAAAGGGAGTCACCTAAAATTACTCAAAAAGAATATGTATTTAATGAGCCTATCCCTGTAGAAAAGACTAACACTTTGCTTACTATGAGGCTGGTAAATCTACACATTTTCTCATACATTTTGCTTTATGTTTTAATTTTTCTTTCCAATTCCTGTGAACTGATCAGTTTCCTGCAGGCCAAAAAGAGTTCCTCAGAGGCTCCTGGCATCTTTCAATGCCTCCAGGCCTTCATGCTTGCTGCCCCTCTCTGAAGAAGGAAGACAGGAGAGAAGCCTCCTTGGAAACAAGGCAGTGGCCCAAAGGAAACCCGTACCCACCTCAGAGCAGAGACAACAGCCTTTGTCTCTAAGGAAGCAGAAAACAGACAGAAGAAATGGCCCAGGACATGAAGGGCTGCAGGAGCTGGTCCCAATAATAGAGGACACACAGGGCACACACTGCGGGCCAGGCACCCAACTAACATTATCCCACTTAACTTTTCAGCAATCTCAGAGAGAAGATGTTTTTTCCATTTTAAAGATAAGCTGCAGGCGGTCAAGTGACTTAACTAGGGCCACACAACTGCTAGAACCGGATGGAATTGGGATTAGAGACCACAAGCCTGACTCAGGAGCCTGCTGCCCGTTTTCCTACATGCTTCTCCATGGGGCTGCATCACCCCCTAGGGGACTGTTTTGGAAGTTTGTAGTTTGATCGTTACAGTAACTGGAAGGCCTACAGTTCACAAGACAGACCCCAACAAAGAATGGTTCCATGCCCCTCAGGGCTTCAAGTGCTCTGCCTGGTATTCATGTGCTTGGAAAGCATGATCCATAGCTGGGCCTTGAACTGAATTCTGTTCTACATCTAAATACAAAGTATGTCTTGCACATGAAAATTTCTAAAAATGTAACCTCAGTCCTGTGAAAGAGAGAGACAAATACACTCTGTTTTGCCTGAAACGTGACTATTTCAGAGAATCCCATCACCAAGGAGGCATGGTTTGTGGTTGAGAGGCCCACACAGCAGCTATTGCATTTACAGAGATTCTGTGCAAGCTTCTGGCCTCTTCGTTCTGTCTCTTCTTATAGTTCTGCCCAAACATTTACACACTAAAATATATATTATCCTCCTATAAACTACTCTCCTTTTATTTCTTGATATTATAGTGGGAGCATTCTATAGTTTTTTTTTGGGGGGGGCAGCGTGTAGGGAAACAGGTTATATTTTCTATGCATCTCATTTTGGGATAGTAAAGGGAATATTCCAAATTATTATGAAGAGGGATCCTTGGGTAAGATAGGACTGGAAACTGTCCTGGCTTCAGTTTCTCCTTTGCCAGTGAGTCTGGTGAGCAGCCCCCAACCACATACGCCCCCCACCCCCACCCCCTCAAACTCCTTGCTTTTGTCTGTAGCTCCCCTCTCTCGTCTTGCTTTGAAAGCATAGATTTGGCTGGGCCAAACCTCACATGTCCCCATGGCTTCCTCTGTGCTTCCCTTCCTGTTTATTTTGGCCTCCACCAAGGTGCAAGATATTGGTACCTGAGGCTCAGCTCAATGGATGGATTTCCCATCTTGGAGGTGAGCAGTAAAGGAACAGCTCCTTCTGTGCTTCCTTTCTATCTAGGAAACATTTCCTAAATAAAGAAATGCTTCTCTTGGGGCTGCTCTGCTTGAGTGTGGAGCTGGGCAAGTGGGCTGTGTTGCTGGTACGTTTTCTTTTATCAAGCAGTGTTGTCTCTGAATTCCAGGCAGGCTGTGCAAGGGAATGAAGCCCTGCAAATTGCTTTTTCTTTCATAAAGCATTTTAATTTTAATTATTGTCAGCACTTATGTCACTGCCTTGGGGGATGAAGAGGGAAGAAGGGAATACTCTGCAATTTCACAGCATATACCAGTTTTCCCTAGAATGGGGAGGAGGGTTGCACAGAGTAAAAGAGCAAGGAACAGAGCTCCCAGTAGATTAAAAGGGGCCTTTGTAGTGGCTGCATCTGTACATTAAAATAAATCTCTCCTAGCACTAAAATAACATCTACATTCATTTGGGACAGTGCCACATTCAGCATTTAAGAAATTTGACAAAACACTGCTTGAGCATGTTGAAGTTTGCCAGCTCACAACAAAACAAGAAAGCTACCTCAGCTGCATGGAAATACTTCTCCTGGTTCCCTACTTTCACTTATGACTCCCATTTTCCGGCTGCACTTAAAAGAAAAAGACTGCCCTTTTTTCAGGTGCCAACCACTTAACATGGCCCTGAAATGGGCAGCAAATTGCCGCTGGAGGTGGTAAACTTCAAGAGGAGTCTTTTTCTTTTCCCCTAAAGAAAAATACTAGAGAGGCTTCATGCGTGATAAAGCCTTTAATAGCTAGAGAAACATTATTTGAGGTGGCCCTCAGGTAGACTAGACGTGAATAATGCCCCATAAAAGCAATTACTTCTACCCAGAGCACAGCACACCAGATGAGTTTGGCGGGGGCCCTTTTTCCAAGAGAATTGCAGGCAAAAGAAATCTTCTATCTAGGATCCAGTAGGATGGATGTGTCTGTGGCAGAGACCATGGTTGCTTCTGTGGAGTGTGTCCCTTCAAAACCCACTCTGAACTTTTCTCAGACCCCGACCAAAAACATTGGGAGATTTTTCAGGCTGCTTTTTGCTGCTTTATAGCACAAGGAGGCCTGAAATAAGTAACCCATCCACTTGCTGAGAATGTTGCTAATGGACCCCGATCCCAGTGCAGTCCATTTGGTTGTGGCATAGATGGACAGATTAGCACAAGTTTAGAGTTGGAATGGTGGAGTGGACCATTGAACCCAACCTACTTATTACACAAATGAGTAACTAGAAGTCCAAAGAAGCTAGCAACTTGACTGAGATGATTCAGAGATGGCCCAGACTGATTCTAACTCCAGCTGGGCTGGAATAACATACAGCTGTTGCTTCTGCCAGCTGGGCATGCATGTCCCTTTTTTGGGGGAGGGGTTGAAGAGCCCCACTCCCCTTACCCACACCCACACTATTTCCTTTAGGGACATGTCCTGCCTCCAATTTCAGTCCATATGGTTTGCATAGGGTTTGCCCCCCACTCCACAGGCACAGGAATGCACCCTCCCCTCCTCCGTCATAGTGATGGCCATCTACCCGCGCTTTGCCAGTGAGAGCCAGCCCCAGAACTTTGAACTGAAACTTTCAGGAAAGAGGAGGCTTTTCTCCACCGAGTCTCCCAAGCTGATCAGATGAGTGCTGGAGGCACAGCATGAAGAGGGTCTGCTTGAGAACTGGGCTGACACAAAGACAAGTGAAACAACAAACTAAGAACACTGGTGACTTCAGCTGAGCCCTGGATCCAACTGTATCTGAAGCCAGATATAGCTTTGGACTTTTTAGTTAAGGAACAATGAACTTCCACCCACCCCAACCAATCAAATAATTAACTTCCTTTAATTTACTGATTTTGCTTAAAGCGACGTCGAGTTTGATTTTTGTTGCTTGCAATGGATGGCAGCCTGACAAATACAGCTGTAGTCTAGGTTGGTGTTTCCTTCTGATGGGAGATGGGCAACTTATCTTTATGTACAGAGATTCATCACATAAGCACCCCCTTGCAGGCAAATCCAATCACTGACATGGAAGGCAAATCTGTGGCATGCATGCTGCCCTTCCTGACTTCACGTCAAGAATAACTAATGAATCCTGGTACTCCTTCCTAGGGAGCCTCACCATCTACCCAATGCAGCTTCCCACGCAACCATGGCCATCGTTGAGTGGTGCCAGGTCAGCATGACCATGCTGGGGCTCATAGTAGAACCTTTACAGGAAACATGGTACCTTTTCCTAGACCAGTTGAACACTCAAAGCCCTTTAACTGCTCTCAGTAACCACACTGGATAATGAAGAAGGCAAACACGTGCATCTGCATGAAGGGCCTGGTTGCTAACCTTTCAGGAGTATTCTCATTTCTTGTCATGGGCAATTATCAAGAATCTTACAGTTTTTACTGAGCCAGGGTATGAGTTGATACAGTGAGAGAACCACTTAGCTTGTTGGGATCTCAGGAGGTCACCTGGAATGGACCCTAGGCTCACACATACCTAAACTTTCCCAGGTTAAAAGTTTCTTATCTTACCCCAACATCAAGACAACCAAAAAACAGTGGGCTTGTTGGTGGCGGGGGGAGGGGGCGGGGGTGGTGGTGAATAGCGGTACTAATAGAATGCCATTGTAACTTGAGGTCATAGGAAGTTCCAGGGTATTGGTGGGTGATATTCAAGTTGACATCACCACCTCCTCCTTAGGAGGCCTGTCCTGCACTGAAGAAGAAAAGCTAGGACTGCATTTCCCAGAATCTCCTCCATTTGTGGCTCTGGATTAGGGTTTGTCAACTAGAGAGTTGTCAACTAGTTTTAGAGGCAGCAAAGGGACAGACGCCATGTGGCTTTGGAGGCAGTTGCAGGCAGATGTGCTGGCAGATGTGAAGTTTGAGGCAGCTCCCATGTGAATTCTTAAGAGCCATCTGCATGGATGCTTCTTGACCCACATCTCTCCACCCTTCAGTGATCATAAAAGCTTCTTATTCCCTGTATTCAAGTCCTTTATACCTGGAACACTTAGAGTAGCTTCTGTTCCTAGGACCAAGTCCTGGCTGATAGATTGAGGACCTCCTATTTTCATGGGGTACAGTCAGAGCGAGGACTCCCTTTACATACTGTTAGTATATACTGTTAGGTCTCTACCATCTCCACACTGTGAGTAGGGTCCTTCCCCAGGGCACCAGGCAATTTGGGGGGATATCTAGCAGTCAGGATGCTGTGGCTCCATGCTGCTGTACCACAGACACAATATTCTCCTGCAGGTTTTTGGTCAAAAATGCCCCAGTGACTCCTGCAAAGCCCTACCCTGCATGGGTAGCCCAGCCTGACTCTGCAACTCCTTTCCTTTCTCCCTGTCCAGCAAGCCCCAGCTACAGCATTTTGTGCTCCTTGTTTTGTGTCTCTTAGGTTTGCCTTAGTACTGCTTGAAAGATTACCCTTTTCCTGTTCCTTTAGTCTACTGAAAGAGTCAAGGGGCAGTACAGACTAATGGTGGGCTCAGGGTTAGAATCCAGCGTTTAACCTCCCTCTGCTTGGTTGTAAAAGCTGGGATGATAAAGTCAGATAGAGCACAGCGTCTGGTGCACAGTGAGAATACAAGACTTGTTAGCTTCGGTCTGATAATAACCCCTAGAATGGAAGATCACTTTCCTTATGGGGCTCCAGAAAGGATTAATGACGACCCTTCTGCCAGCAATTTACCGTCCCCTCCCCAGCAACAGGTTCTCAGATCCACAAAGTCCCCTTGGAACTCTCTCACTATCCCCCCTCCCCCTCTCACCAATTGATCCTATAACAAAACATTGAAACCCTCCTTGGATTGTCACTGCTTAGAGCAGGCAAGAGCAAAGAGCTGCCGATTCCCTGCCTAAGGCTCTCCAGATAACTCTAATCATCTTAAATGCACTGCTGTCACAGGCAGATTAATTTTTCACAATGCTTAACTATTTTGATCCACAGAGTATTACAATTACAGCTGAAGATCACTCACCCTCGAGCTCTGTTCCTTCAGAGTAATCTCAGTTGGGGACTAAACAGTCCCAGGGATTCTTTTTAATAAACCGCATCTGCTTCCAAAGCCGCATTTCTTACCTTTTATCTGTTCCTTTGTTTCAACTGTTTTAGAAAGGATTGGATTCTTTGCATTCATTGGAGAAGAGAGCAAAGCAAGGTGTTTTTCCAATGTTGGGCAAAACCCCTGTTCCTCCTAGGTTTGGAGCCAGTTTCCCTGAAGTCACATAGCCGCTGTCATTATTTTTTGGTATTCTGGAGCAAGGCATTAGTGCATGTGAACCTGCTTTTCTTCTTTGTTAAATTACACTTTTAATTTTTCTTATCCACTGGAATGGTTATATTCATCTTCTTTCCTGCTGTTAATGGTTCCTCACATTGCTTCTATCCCTCACACTGCTTCTGTCCCTCACATTGCTTCTACTTCCTTCCCCTTCTGTACCTCTTTTCATTCAACAGTGAGTCTTAGAGTTGCTAGCATATTCCCATTCCCCAAATTGGCTGGGTTCCCATCGATTCACCCAAAAGTAAAGTCCATTGGTGGGGAAATTTTCAATCAGCATTTTGCTGCCTCACTGCTAAATAAGAACTTAGGCCACACATATTTGTGGGGAGCCTTTAACACGAAAAAGAAAGACAGAAACTAGCAGAAAAAAAAATGAGTTCAAGTTAATAGCACAAACAGCAGGAAAACAACCCAACAACTTTAGACAATATATTCCGAGAGATCAAAGATGGCATTGTGTCCTTGGAACAACAAGAGGCTGCTGTAAAAAAGAACTCTTGGAAATTTAAAAGAAAAGTGTCAAAATAAACAGGTTTAAGAGCAAAAAAAAAAGTTGGAAAAAGAAAATCTCTCAGAAAAATAAATAAAACAAACAGACTTGGAAAAATAACATAAGAAGACTTCCTAGAGCTGAAGAATATTCATTTCTAAATCATAAGAGCTTGCAAAATGCCCAACACAATGGGTGAGGGGGACCCACAGCATCACGGTATTTCAGGACACTAGAGACCCAGAGTACATTCTGAAAGCTTCTGGGATGGAGGTTGGGAAACTTGGTCATATCAAAGGAATCAGAATAGCATCAGACTTCTTAACAATAACACTGGAAGTCAAAAGAAAATGGAGCAATGCCTTCACAATTCTGAGGGAAAATGATCTCCAGTGCAGAATCTTATACCCAGCCACATGATAATTATGTATAGGAGCAGAATTAGGGTGTTTTTAATGCTATAAGGGCTGAAAACATTTTCTCTTCCTTTCTAAGAAAACTACTGGAGAATGTGAGCAAAATGAGTAACTGAGTCAGAAAAAAAGGAAGACATGGCTCTAGGATAAAGAGGGTTACAGCAGAGGAAAATGGTGAAGGGAAAACTTAGGAACCCAGCTGCCCAGCAGGACTGGGGAGCAACTATCCAGACTGGAACAGAATGGCAGCAGGTGCAGGGAACAAGGTCTCTCCAAAGAATGATGAAATAACAGAAAACTGAATATCTAGGAAATAGTCATAACAGGCATTTGAGATATCTGATGAAACACATGGGGGAAAAATAGGGATGGGTTGAAGGAAAACTAAGCAAGTAAAAAAGCACACAGATTTTTCAGTCCAGGGAAAAATATCATAAAAAAGAAAACACACAACAGCATACAATTTAACACAGTAGGGAATATACATACATGGGCCTAATAATATAATCACTATCTAATTAATCAGAAACTATGAGATAGGTATGCAGCTGTGCTGGTGGAATAGTGAGAAGGTAAGAAGAGCTGGTGTAAGGAATCCAAAGTACTGGGTATTAAAGGAAGTAAATGAGCAATCTCTGATATTAAATAAAACCCAGTAATTTCAATTTGCTAATGAGAAATAGAGCTGCTAAGAGAGGTGGAAGCTGTTGCCTCTGGGAAGTGGGACTAGGGGTTGGGAGTAGAGGGGGAGTGGTGGGTCAAGGGCCTGTTTTTTCTCTGTGTAAGCTTCTTTTTAGTACTATTTAATTTTTAAAAACTGTGTTCATACATTACTTTGCTACAAACCCAAGTTAATTAGAAATAAAAGTGAAACGTTAAGGGGAGTAAATAATCAGCAGATTCAAGCTCCTGGCACAATTCTCAGGCCTGACCTACTTTTCTCATTGTTTATTCCTCTCTGTGCCCAAATAAGAAGAGGTGTGCACACCTGGAAGGCAAAACCGCTCTGGGAGGTGGATGGGAGAACATAGGGAGAAGTCAGTCTCTGCTCCTTGGCTCAGGGTCTGAATCTCTGCGCTTTGTCTGACTCTGCTTGGCACATCTCTGTCCAAAAAGTACATCTCAGACATGCTGTGACCTTAGAACCCATGGCCCACACATCCAGGGACTACACTGGTGTGAGATGTACGGACACACCTGTTTGGGGATGCATTCGCATGTCACTGCCCTATCACAGAGCCTTTCTACAGATGCTCTAGGATGCGAAGCTAAGGTGCAAATGATTGCCAGGCTCTTCCTAATAATCACACGGTAAACCCCATTTGAAGTTTGTGCATGACCAAGGACATAGTTTTTCGAGAAGGAAACTGGTGCCACCGATACCACCCGTGACTGTCTCTGGGTGGAACAACTGCCAAATAAATCAAGTAAGTTTGCTGAAAGACAGCTGTCTTTGCTATGGTACCAGAATGAAGTTTATCCCATGGTGAGCAGTTTCCATTTTTACTACAGCCCAGACAGGTGCAAACTGAGCCGTGGAACGGTGTGGCGGGGAGGCCAGCGCACGTCCTTGAAGTCTCTGCCCAGAGTCCCAGGGACACTCACCCCAACCCTCAGCATGGGCCCTTGCCCCTAGAGGTCAAAGCCATTCATTTGAAGCTGAATCATTAAAATTCGGTTAGAATAGATCTTCCACCAAGATCCCATTAGTGGGAAGAAATTATTACCTTAATAAAACCTAATCTCGTAATGTCCCACAAGTGGTTAAATATTATGGGTTATCTTCTTTTGTCAAAAAAGACAATGAAAACAATATGGAGTGTTGTGTGGGGAGCAATGATACATATTAAAAAATCCAAATGTCATCAAGACTTTATTTACTGCTCCCCCGCATAATTCCAGCATTAAAAAAAGAGGAACAATGAATGAAGGGGGAGAAACGCAACAGACAATACCAAAGCCTTAACGGTCCATCCCTGCGCCAATAAGTAGTTTGAAAATAACGTCCTTCAGGATCCATATGTTTTCTGCA